AGACTTTTGTGGCCTTTATACTATAATTCAAATTTCTATGTTTTTTGCCAAAGTCATTTTTATTTGGTGCATTTCCAGGCTCTCGTCTTTATATAAATAAATATATATATATATATATATATATATATATATATATATATATATATAATCTGTGTTAACCTGAATGAGCATAGGTCCTGCTACAAACATTTTCTGTGCCTCAAATTGGTTCCTATGTGATGTGGAAATGAGACTCTGAGGGTGGTTGAACATGATTGACTGGTTTCTAGGCCAGGGGAGTCTGAAGAGTTGGAATGGAAAGGTTATCTAAGACATTCAAATATTTTACTGTCCTGGCAGCAAGACCCATTTTGGCAGTATTAAGAAAAACTTAAATGAGTGTCTGTTCCCAGAGCTCCTTGTCCAGGGCACTGTGGGGCCAGCTTTGCTTGACTCTTGGCTGTCAGTGGTTTGTCCTATTGCTTTTGTTGATATCCATGGTGACCCTCCTCTAACAGAGGGCTGCTGCCACTTACAGATCGCCTTGATTACCACTTGTGCACCAAAGTCTCTGCAGCTACTGTTGTACATCTGGACATCTGTGATAACAACCACAGGGTCTGTTTACTTCTTTCGTCTATTCTGTCTCTCAGGAGAACCAATGATTTTGGTTATTATTTTTTTTATTTTACATATCGATCCCAGTTCCCTCCCCTTCCCTCCCTCTCTCCCTCTCTCCCACCCTCTCATGCCCCCTGAGACCACCCTCCCCTCCCATTCCTCCCATCCATATGTAGGTTGATGCCTTCCAGGAGGGGTTATCGAAATCTGTCAAGTCATTTGGAGTAGGGACTTTGCCTTCTCTCCTGTCCCTAGGTTAAAGCAGTATCCCCTCATGGGGGATGTGCCCTCAAGGTCCTTTTGTGCATCAGGAATACATCCTGGTTCTACTGTCTGAGGCCCCTTAGACTGCCAAGGCTTTCTAACTGAGACCCATGTTCAGGGGGTCTGAGTCAGTTCCAAGCTGGATTCTCAACTATCAGTCTGTGGGGGGGGGCATTAGCTCCTCCTTGTTCAGGTCAGCTGTCTCTATATAGCCTGGTCTTGTCCTCCCTCTCTGTATCTGGATTCCAGTTTAGCTCAGAGTTTAGCTTTGGTTGTCTGCTTCTGTTTCCATCAGCTACTAGATGGGGATTCTATGATGGTAGATAAGTTAGTCATCAATCTCATTATCAGGGAAGGGCATTTATGGTAGCCTTTCCACTGTTTCTCAAATTGTTAGTTGGGGTCAGTCTTGTAGGTCTCTGGACATTTCTGTAGTCAGTTTTCTCTTCAAATCTATAATGGCTCCCTCTTTTATGGCCTCTCTCTCTCTCTCTCTCTCTCTCTCTCTCTCTCTCTCTCTCTCTCTCTCTCCTCTGTCTATTCCTCCCCTGACTCAATCTTCCTAGTCCCACATGCTTTCCTCTCCTCCCCTTCTCTTTACTACTCTGCGGAAGAAAACAAAACAAAACAATGGAATCTTGAAATTTGAAGGCAAGTGGATGGAACTTGAAGAAACCATCCCAAATGAGGTAACCCAGTCACAAAAAGAGGAACAGGGTATGTACTCACTCATATATGGATTTTAGACATAGAGCAAAGGATCACCAGCCTATAATTCACACTGCCAGAAAAATTAGGATACAAGGAGGATTCTAAGAGATTCATATAAGGTCCCTCATAGAAGGGGAAAGAGAAAGATCTCCTGAGCATATGGGGAGTGGGGTGGGGGCAGTGAGTGGAGAGGGAACTAGGATTTTGGTTATTTTTATTTGCCAGTCTGATTCCTTTTGTAGAACACGGAAAGAAAATCATACTTGTGAACTGTATTTGCAAATTTGCTTATTCACTAAAATTTACCATCTTATGTGCTCTTCAGCTTAGCATCACTGTAACAAAATATCTGATCTAGTCATCCTAAAAAGAAGAAGGGTTTATTGGGTTGGTACATGGTTTTCGAGGTCCAGCCTGTGATCGATTAGCCACTAGCTTTGGGATTGTAGTGACAGTATACATTGTGGTACGATTTTGTAAGGAGACAGAGACTTACTTCATGGCCAGGACATGAGCGGGGAGTGAAGGGAGACAGCTGGGGCCAAGCACTCCCCTTTGGGACACAGACCTTATCATATAAGGACACCATAGGTTTCATTACCTCTCAATAGCACCACCTTGAGGGCAAAGTATGTAATACATGGACTTTTTTTGTTTTTGTTTTCTTTTGTTTTTTTGCCTGTCAGCTGCAACATTGGTTTTGGGACTACAGACTGAACCTGTTGCACTGACTACTCCCATTGGGGCATGGGGACAGGTGAGGGCGTGGCCTGGAGGGGACTAGGCCTGTGGTTCCATACCCCAGCTCTCTCTCTCTCATTTCCTGGTTGGAGACAGAGAGCCTCAGGAGGTATCCTTGGGACGGGAACCTGCGGCAGTCATCTGTTTTGGTGTAAATGATTTCTCCTAGAATAAACATCCATCAGCCTCTTGTTTCCCAGATTCATATATACAACGCTGTATCTGGTGTCAGTGCAACAGGTACGGGTGGGGTGGATATCTCACTACACCAGAGTTCTTGGGCTTCCAATGCACACAGTATATCATGACGTATTTATCAACTTATGTGATTGTGTAAAACAACTACACACACACACACACGTATTTCAGATCTTGATTGATAACATGTTAATTTCCAATAATAACAGTACAAAATAGTCACTTTTCTGTTAACAGAGACTTTTGCAAATAGGAGAATGTGTTACATGGCTATAAGTTTTTGCAATCTAACATTCACTTGTTATCCATTCTTAAGCTACTTATAAACTCCATTTGGATGATTTCATACAATAGAATCTAGAGTAGATTTGGTTTTCTGTAACTCAGGATCTTATTTTTTCTTTTTTGTTTAAGGAATTTTTATTAAAGCAAAAATTTTATAATCCAAATTGTTTCCTTGCTCAGTCATCGGTTCTGCTACTTGAAACAGAACTGACATTCCAAGCTATTCCACAGTAAAGAATTACAAAATTAAAGGGAGAAATGCTTTCCCAAGGTCTATAAAACATTAATTTGTTTTTATATTTTACTATTTCTTATTGTTTTAAATCATGTAATTTTATAAAAGAGGAAGGAAAGAAAAAAAAAAGTCTCCCGCGGAGGGGAGAGAGACGTGGATTTTTTTGTAATATATATGTATGTATATGTATATGTGTATATATATTTACATATATATGTTTTTTCAAATATTTTATTTAGTTTTTTTAAAGTAATAAATGTGTGTTCGGAGTCTGGAGCACACACTCCACACTGTCAGCACTAACCGCTGGGGAGAAGGCTGTAACGCAGAATCTTAAAGATCAGAGTAAATAGATTTTGTTTTTGTTTTTGTTTTGTTTTGTTTTTTGTATCACACTCAAGAAACACTAATGTGTGAAACAAGCTATAACAATAACAGGATCCACTTTATTTGTTGGCTTACACATCCAGTCATCTTCATCTTCATGAATCCATTGGAGCTAACTTTCTCATGACTTAAGTTCACCTAGCAATTTCCAGAAGCATTCACATGGCAGCAGTTCATTTGTACCAGTGGATGTATTCTACCAAGCAATCAAAGGAGTAATTCCTTTCATTTTCTAAATAATTACAGCTGTTCTTGCTAGAATCATTTCAGATAAAGGTCACTCACAATTTCTGTTGTAATACCTCTCTTATTTCTCAGCTTTAAAAATTTACTTTCTTCTTTTCTATTTTTTATTTAAATTTGGAATAAGCTTGTTTTACATATTTTTCCCAGTTCCCTCACCCTCCCATTCTCCCCTGTCCCCCCACCAACCCCTATCCCATCCCCTTTCTGCTTCCCGGGGGGGGGTGAGACTTTCCATGGGGAGTCTTCAGAGTCTGTCATATCATTTGGAGCAGGGCCTAGGCCCTCCCCCATGAATACTTGGACTTTTAAGGGTCATTTAATAACCAATCTATAGTAGCAAGGCTTTAAAGGTTAGTCACTGACTTGGTAATTGTGTAGAATGGTGGAAAGTTCAAGTCACTAGAAACACATCTAGCAGCTGTGGTCAGAGAAGATAACCCACTTTTGTGTTCCCATGGTCATACTGTAAATAAGTGGCCTTTTTTCTGTTTTATTGAGTTTCTCATTAAAAACAAACCCCCAAGCCCATGCTCCTTTTGTTTGGGAAAGTTGCTGTCTAAAGTATCCTTGATAAGCTGCACTGTAGGGCTATCCATGTTCCTATGTGGGAGAACATTATTTGTGATGTGCTTTGTGGAGAAAATATCTCTGATAGAGAAACTTCATTTGGGCTTCAGCAATGGTACAGTTGGTTGAGTTCAAGGATACTGAATGAGTAGTGTCTATCAAATAAGAAAAATGCCTTTAAATAGAAACACAAAAGATGATATATTGACAGGTTGAAAAAAGTCATGAGCAGAGGCTTGCAGGATTCAAGGGCATTGTCTGATATTTCCTAATTCAGTGTTCAATATCACTCTGCAGAAGATAACTGGTGAATAATAAGGGTCAACTGTGTACATGTAATATTACAGCAGATATACTGATGTGGAAATAATTTTTTGTGTTATGTAAAAATGGAAGCAGGGAATGGTGGCACATGCTTTACCCAAGAGGCAGAGGTAAAAGGATCAGGAGTTTCTGGTCATTCTCTGTGACCAGTCTAGGCTACAGGAGACCCTGTCTACAAACAAATAAACAAACAAGGAGTCTGTGGTAATGTAGTTGCCTAATATGAGAAAGGTCCATTCAGCACACAGTACCAACCCCCACATACATAAGGGTGGGGGGAAGAAAAGTAGATAGAGTTCTTGGATTATGGTGCTATATTCATGTTGTGGTAATGCTTACTTTGTTTCTTTGTGGAGTTTGGGGTTGAACCCAAGCCCTCATGAATGCTATGCAGACACTCTTGTCCTGAGCTACACACGAGCCCTGTTTGCATTTTTAACAGGTGGACTTCTCTTCCAGGAGTAACTAGCATGGTCAGTGAAGGAACCATGAATGCCTCTGGGAACCTAATGGATTTCCTTGATGAGCCCTTCCCTGATGTGGGGACTTATGAGGACTTTCATACCATAGACTGGCTGAGGGAAAAGTCCAGGGACACTGACAGACACAGAAAGGTAGGTGGTACCATGCTAAGGGGGTCTTTACCAATAGTTCCACGATGCTTCCATGTGTAGGTTATGATGTGAGACTGAGGCATGTTAATTTCACAGCAGGAAAGAGCTAGTAGAGGAAGTAGAGACAAAGACTGGAAGTTACAATATCAGGCACTGTGAATAAAAATAGGACCAGTGAAGGCAGTACAGGGACCTTGGAGTCATACACCTTTGGACCACATCTTGCCCTGGACAACTTCATGGTGGTTGCATTTGAGGCTGTCATTTCTGGGCCTCATTATTCATCCTTGAGAATAAATGTGATTAGAATGGAAGATTGGATGAAATTGTGTGTGTCTCTGTGTATAAGTGTGTCATCGTGCTGCCAGACATCTAGTTGCCATTCAGTGTATACTAGAATGGGACACAATGCAGTTATGACTGATGCTTTGGTATCACTTAGGAGGAATGACTAGAGAAGCAGTTTTCAGAGAGGTAAGATTTTAATTTGGTCTCTCAGTGTGACCAAGAGTTTGGTAGTCAGAAGGAAAGGATACTAAATATCAGGAGTGGGTTTTTTTTTTTTGTTAAGTCATAGGGGCATGAAAGAATGTGACATATTTAGGTCATTCAGGGGGTCCTAAGTTTGTTGGAGGATTCATAGAAGGACTTGAATAGAGATGAACCTAACTATGGGGCTGTGTTAGGAACCATTACTTGGCCCACTGGAAGGAGTTGGTCAAGGCCACAGAGGACAGTAAGGAGGTGCTGCAGAGAGAAAAACAGGAAGCTTGGGAGTGTGGTCAGGAGGAAGGAAGATTTCTTACTGTAGGCTGTAAAAAAGACTGCCTGGGATCAGGTTCAAGCCATCTAAAGGAAGGATTCGAGTGAAATGGAGTCATAGACCTATAGGCTTTTGTAAGACAAGATGAGGTTTCTGAAGTGGAGTGGGGATTGTCCTGCAGTAGGCTGGGAGACAGCATGCTGTGCAGCTCAGTGTGAGGCTAGGGCTCACCCTGGAGATTGAGAGTATCCTCACCTGCAGATGCCTGCTGAAGCTTGAGACATGGCCAAGGAGGCTTGGGTACTTAGATAGAGAAGTGCAGGTAGAAACAGGACCCTGGAAAAGTTAGGGTACAGGTTATGGCTACAGAGGAAGACAGGTGAGAATCAGAGAAACAGACTTGGAAGAAGCAGACAGGGATGGCATACGAAACAAAAAATAAATGATGTTAGAGGAGCATTAGGGCTCCCCCAGAGTGGGGAGGGAAAGAGACATGCTTTAAAAATGACATAATGGTCTTTAAAGAGTGAGTGTATCCCCCAAATGAACACTTAAGTCAAAATCTGCATTGAATCTGAGTTGCACTTTGATTGTGAAGAGAGACAGGGATCCTGTGTTGCATCCTTATAGACCTGTGGACTAGAAAGCCCATTGCTGCAAGTCACTATATGCCTGGGCATTTGGTGGCTTAATTATATTCCTCTTCTCAGTCATGTTGTTTCCTAAGGAACCCACTTTAGAGAAAGAAGCACGAACTGAAATTGTGTTCTGATCAACTGCTGTATGTACTTCATTTCCAGATAACCAGCAAAAGCAAGGAGTCAATCTGGGAATTCATCAAGAGCCTGTTGGATGCATGGTCTGGATGGGTGGTGATGCTACTCATCGGGCTGCTGGCAGGTGCGTGCAAGACATGTGTGCTGTGCTTCTAGCACTCTCAAACTCCAGATGTTTGGGAGACACTGAAGCTATTTCAATGCAATGGGTTTGCTTGAACTATTTAAAACCAAAATACCTGAACAAGTTTTTACCCTAGAATATACTAAGACTAATGTCAGAGCCTGACCCTAGTTGTGGCACCACAGACATACACAGAGATGGGTCACAAAACAAGTGTGGGCTTCTGGAAAGTTGTAATTAACAGCACTGCTCGTTCCTGTCCATACACTGAATAGATTTATCACTATCCTGGGTTTTAACCAAAACATGCATTTTATATGGCTATTTATAGGGTTACAAAATATGGAAGCATTAAAAGTCTGAAGCATCAAGCACCACATATGGTGGGCTTTTCCTACGACTGGAAAGCCCTGAACTGTGTGATTAAACATTCTGTGATGTTCAAAATAATGCTAATTACCCATAGGATTCAAAGTGAGTCCAGGACAGTTGCATTTAGACTATGCACTTTTCTTACCCTTAAAGACTTCTCATCCTCCATTGTGAAAATCTCAGTGCCATTTTGTGGACAGTAGATATTTGGCTCTTTGTGGTAGTTGTTTGCTGAAGTTACCTTCTTTTTAGGCGACTATAAAGATGGTGTTAAACAGCCTTTTTTGGGAAAAACACTATGGTGCTGAGTAAGGAATTTTACCTTCATCATTCTAATGTGCAATTGGAGGCAGCAAACATTTAGAAAGCTGGTTCTATGGACCTGTACAGTGTAAATTGAAGGAAGGTGCAGAATGAAGGGGTTTTGGAGATAGGCACTTCCAGTGTTCTTTGGATGTGAATGCTTATTGGGAGATCTAGAAAGTAGCACCATTTTCCATGGCTCCAATGGTGGGAGGACTCAGGTATCCAACAGCCTGGATGGATGTTCCCTTGGTTTGCCTCTGCATAATTAATTTACCAGAACTTACCATAAGGCGGCACTGTTGCACCACAGACCAAAGCCGAGCTCAGTCACAGAACAACTTGAGTCAGCAAAGGAGATTGATTGAATGAAGCATAATGTGACTGTGAAAGGTTGAAAAATGATGGATCTCGGGGTGATCATCAAATCTTGCACATGTGCACATGTCAATTTCCACTTGAGACTTTCTCTCATCACTTCTCTAAAAAAAAAAAAAACCTTTCTTTCCTTGAGCCTCTCCCTCACCAGTTTCTCTCCCTTTCTCTGTTTCTTTCTCTTTGTGTGTAATAGCTTTACTGAGTTGCACTACACATATTGCATGATTGACCCATTTAAAGAGTAAAATTACAATTAAGTGGTTTCAGTATATGTACAGAGTTGTGCGATTATGATCATGACAAATTTTAGGACAATTCTATCATTCCTACCTAAATATTATCTGCACCTTTTAGCTATGGCAGGATCTAAACCATTACCAGTCTACTTCCTTTTACTATAGATTTGTCTGTTCTGGACATCCCATGTAAGTTGAACTTTATGCGTGTCTTTTGAAGTGGACTCAGGTCTAGATGCCTGGCCTGACCCTAACTATGACACAAAAACTAGATGATAAAGCCTTTTCTTTCTAGTACATAAACTAGTTGAAGTACACACACACATACACACACACACACACACACACACATACACACACATACACAAATATTTAGACATACACATGAATACATACATGCATACACACATATAGACATGTATACGCATATGCATACACATGCGGGCACACAGTCTGTTATTGAAGGTGGATTATATGGGCCTGGATATACCTTTAGGGCTCAGTAGCAAGAGGGATACAAATAAGACAGTCAGGGAAGATGCACAATATGAAAGGAGAAAAAAGGTTTAGGGTCAAGCTTTGAGGAACTTTCCCCATTAAAAAGCCAGGTGGAGGAGGTAGAAAGATCATAGGAGACAGAAAATCCTAAAGCAAGGGGGAAACCAGGAGAGCTACACGTTGCAGAAGCCATGACTTTCTGGAAGAATGTAGTACTCAGAAGTTTCAAATGACACCAAGAGGATAAAACTAGGGTTGGTAACCTTCTTTCTGTAAAAGGCTAGCAAATAAGTGCTTTCAGTTTCCTGAGTTGTGTAGTCTCTTTATACATCAGCTCTGCCACTGTAGCAGGTCGAATAGCCACAGTCAGCATCCAGTGATAAAGTGTGGTTATGCAGGGATAAAGATTTATTAACCAAAAGCCAGTGGGCTATATACATATGGCCTTTTGGTTATGCGTTGTATGAAGTCTGGGTACAGGCTATTGCTTTCCTAGTGGAGGGAGGGAAAGGACTGGACTGAGGGGAAGAGGAAAGAAGGTAAGATCCAGGTGACTGAGGACTAGGGGTGACTTCAATGTTGATGAGAAGGAGCCGTCGGAGAGGGAAAGGTTGTTGATTTGCTTATGTGTTTAGTGCATATGATGTGTGTTATGTATGTGTTGTGTGTATGAATGGGTCCACCAGTACACACATATTTGGAGACAAGACAAAGATGTCTCCTGTGTTTATTTCTACAATATTCCCCTAAGTCAGGATCTCTTTTTGCACCTGAAGCTTGTTCTTTTGGCTAGACTGGCTTCTAGTATTTTCATGTTGCCTGGCTCAACAATGGGGGCATAAGCATACATGGTCATGCACAGATTTTATGTAGGTTCTGGGATTTGAACTCGGGTCCTCATGCTTGCATAGAAAAGTTTTATCTGCTAAGCCATCTCCTTAAATTGGGGATAATTTTTCAAGATATATATTGACAACCAAAAAACTTAGAGAGAGATGAGTGAATCCTGAACTTCTATCTGCCCTCACAGCTTGAGAGTGGAATTACATACCTCCTACCTGATTTTGAGAGCCTAGGAACTTTATGGATCCTTAGGCTGCCCACTGCCTGGCTCCTACCCTAAATGCTCAGGCCACTTCCAGATGAGTGAAAACAACTGTCAATTTTAGTGGCAGTGTCATAGCATGGGTGTGCCCTCTGCTTTGGGAAAACCCTGTCTTCTTTCCACGTGGCAATTCTTCATGATTCGTTCTTTTTCCAGGTACCTTGGCTGGGGTCATCGATCTTGCTGTTGACTGGATGACAGACCTGAAGGAGGGGGTCTGTCTGTCTGCCTTCTGGTACAGCCATGAGCAATGCTGCTGGACCTCCAATGAAACCACATTTGAGGACAGGGACAAGTGTCCCCTGTGGCAGAAATGGTCAGAGCTTCTGCTCAGCCAGTCCGAGGTGTGTATCTGTGTAGGATCTTGGCTGGGGACCACCATAACCCCAATTCCTTAATATCTGTGATTTTGCCTCAGATAATAATCTCTGGCTTCAGCAATGCTGCTGCTGGATCTCTTTGAGCTCTGCGGCTGCTCAAAATTGACCTGGAAAGCCCTTGCTCACCTTGGTGCCTCTTGCTCATGGACATTATATGTGTATTTTAGGAAGCCCTTTTTCTCCCTTTCTTTCTCCCTCACTTTGTCTGTCTTTTCTACCTTCCCTCCTCCCCTTACCTCTTTTCTGAGTTTTCAGACATCATCTTGCCCTATAGCTCACCCTGGCCTGGAATGCAGTCATTCTCCTGCTTCAGTTTCTCAAGTTCTGGGATCTCAGGCATGAGCTATCCAGTGTGTATGTAGGTGTATGTGTATGTGGTGTATTCTTGCCTTTTTCTTACTAAAGGTGTTTTCTTCTTTGTGCTGAAGAAATGGAGATGATTTTGATGTTTTAAGCTAAACAAAAAAATGTTAACTGTTTTTAAAGTAACACTTTCAAGGAGCCAATTTATACTTCATCAAATATTTCCACAGGTAGTACAAATCAGTGGCTTTCATCACATTCAGAATTGTGTAATGATCACCATGGTCAAATTTTAGAATATTTTTATCCATAACCCCCACCTACCCACCCACCCAAACAAAACTGTCAGTACTGGACCAGAGTCATTGATTGCTAGCCCCAAGCAACTGCCTGTGACATTTCTGTCTCTATACATTTCCGCTTTTTTGACAATTCAATATAATGAATCTGTGTACTATATGGACTTCATGTCACTTAGCATATTGGTTTCCAAGTTCCTTCATACTGCACCATACTGCACCATTTCCTTCCTTTTCATTGCTGTATGATAATCCACTGTATGGATAGGCTGCATATTATTTGATAAACATGTAATTCTTGTTTTGGCCTAGCCTAAAAGTTGTTACCATAAACATCTGTGTTCAAAGTGGGGGCATATATTATATCTCTTCGGTATAGGTACAACCTTTGGGTGAGAGGTGATCTCTAGATTTAACTTTTTGATGAACATGTAGAATGATTTCCAATGTGGTTATACCATTTTCCATTCCTATGAGCAGTATATGAGGGTCCTGATTTACCTACCTTCTTTCGAGCACTTGCTAGCATCTGCTTTCATTGTAGCTAACTTAGTGAGTGTGAAATAGTGTCTGTCTCATTGTGGTTTCCATTACCATTTTCCATAGAACTTTTTTTGACTCAATCAGAGAGGATGCTTCTGCAAAAAGCATGTCTCAGATACAGGGGTATATGGGAGACACATACATATAGTATTTCCCCTCACAGCATTTAGAAATTCAGATTGTCATGAATATTTTGCAGAGGCAGAGGCCAAAAGAAGGGAGAGGGTCATTGATGGCTCAGAAAGCCAGTGAAGGGAGCTAAATGACAAGCTTCACATTGGGGGTAATGGGAGAACTATTAAAGCTAGAATATGCTGGGATGATATCTGTAATCTATGTAATCTTCTTCCTTCCCTGTTTCTTTTGACTGACTTTTACTGTTGAGGACATTTGGAATATACTTTGCCAGTTTACTAAACCTCTCTGGATGGAGTATTCCCTCACATCTCAGAAACAGTCAAGACTCTTAAAATCTCACACATTCTCAGTGCTCTCCATTATTCCCCAAAATAAATTCTTTACTTCAGTTAATGGGCATTGTCAGATGGGCCTGGCAGGCTGCCATCATTTTTCCTACTTGCAGAATGTGTTCCAGGGGAAATAGAGGTGCCTATCTTTTCAACTCGTTCTAAGATTTAGTCTTTATTTCAAAGAATTACTCTTTAGAAGAGTGAAAAGTTATTTTTAGCCTCCAAAATGTACTTATTTAAGTGGATGAAATGTATTCCTTGGGCTGATTTCTCACCACATAGTATGTGAAAATATGTGGTTGCATTGCAGTCTCCAGGAATGTGTCTTTAAATTTAATAGGCACATATGTGGCCATGGCAATGGCCTAACAGGTAGGTGATCTCTGTTTCCTTTTGTCTTACTTGAATCATCCAGATGGCGAGAAGAAGCTGAAGCCTTGAGAAAGGAGAAAGTGCCCAGGCTGGGTGTTTATATCAGAAAAGAAACTATTAGCTACTTTGGAGAAAATGGTCCAATACATTCTTCTGAAGAGGATGTTTAAGCAGCACCCTTCTATGAGTGCCTGTCACATGTTAGCACTTGCTGGAATCTTCCAGAGGCTTGTTAAAATGCACTGGGATGTGTGCCTATGTGAAGTATCTGATTTGGCAGCCCTAGGGTGGGGCCCACAGGTTATGTTTCTGCCAACCTCTCAGGTGATGCTGCTGCTGTTGGTCCATGGACCACACATAGAGAAGCAGCCTTCTCAAGCACAGAACTGATGCTTATTCATTGTGGTCTGGGTGTGGCTGTAATAAAAGCTAAGAGAGACCATCCCACTACAGACAAGACAAAACAAATCATCCAGAGTCTCACAGGTAGAGTTTTCTGCACCACACCTTCTATTAACTGCAGTGCAAGTGATGATTACAACCCAGCATCATCCTTGCTTTCCATTACTGCTGAGATTTCATCCACTGGAAGCTTTGTGTAAATAGCTCCTGGAGAAACACCTGATGCTGTTTGTGTGTGGTGACTGTAGCAATAGCAACAACTGTTTCTTTTGCTTATGCAGGCCTGGGATGAACCTCTCTGAGCCCATCACAGCTTCATTTTTCTGATAGAGATGGTGGGGTTGGGTACACTACTCAGGTCTGCTATCCTTCATTGTTTCTTCCTTGTTTTGTGTCTGCTCTTTAGGGTGCCAGTGCTTACATTCTGAATTACTTAATGTACATTCTGTGGGCATTGCTGTTTGCATTTCTGGCTGTCTCCCTGGTACGTGTATTTGCTCCATATGCCTGCGGCTCTGGCATACCTGAGGTAAGTTGTGGCTAAAGTCCTGTGTGTCAGCTATAATCCCCACAATAAACTTACTAGATAGGCACTGTTAGTTCACTTGGTAGTTAAGGAAACTAAAGTACAAACTGGTTAGGTAACTTCCTTAAGTCTCCAAGCTGGCAAACTGTGAGTTGAACCCAGCAGTCTGACTTCACAATGAGTACTGTATTCAGCAGTTTTGATTTGTTGCTTCTCAAATGATTAGATCAACTTTTTTCACTTTCTTTTTTCTCTCTCTTTATTATTATTATTTTTTCTTATTTTACATATTGATCCCAGTTCCCTCTCTCTCCCATCCTCCCATACCCCCTAGACCCCCCTCCCATCCCATTCCCCACCCACTCCACAGGTAGGCAATAGATAAACTCTTAAACCTGAAGAATCTGGGTTCACAAAGCATCCACGTAAATGTGCTACTGTAGTAATTCTATAATGTAATGTGAAAAACAGACAGTAGCAGAGGAGTATTGCTGGGAATGTTTACTGATGATCAGAAGCTTTTGCGACATTTTGTTTTTCTGGTGACAGGGTAATAGGAATCTTTAAGAAAATTAATTCTGTTTTCAGTGCACACACTGGGAATATGCCTGTGTGAAGGTTCAGTTCTTGTCAATAATTTTCAGTATTTGGATGTAACCAGTGTGTCAAGGAAGGGACTGCATCATTCACTGGGATCGAACTTGAAGCTTTGGAGAGTCTACTGGTAGAACTATGGTAACTGAGCTGAATCCTGATAAATCTCAGGCAAAATGCTAATTAGAAATCATAAAATGTCCTGCATGTTCTATCTACTTAGCACACATGCATTGTTACTTGCATGGCAGTGGAAAGGGTAAGTGAAAGTAGAGTTGTGGGCTGATGTGATGGTCGTACTTATTTATCTTTGGATACAGTGTTTCATGTCTTTCAGGTGATCAGAAATCTTACTATGTAGTCAAAGACCGCCTTGAATTACTTATCCCCCTTCCTCAATTTTCCAGGTGCTGGGATTGCAAATGTGGACTACCAGGCTGAGTTTATGTGTTGCTGGGGTTTGAACCCAGAGCTTTATGTATCCTAGGGAAATGTTCTGCTAAATTTGCTACATCCCTAGTCCTCTGTTGTGCCTTCCCACACCGATGTTGCTTTAGTTAATTCACACAAAGGGATAGAAGATGCACAAGGAAGATGTACTAAAAGTACAATAGAGACTTGTTTCAGGAAAGAGTAAAAATATGTATTGATATGTCATATTGAATTTTTGGCAGCTTATTTTGACATATTAATTCAAGAACACTCAGCCAAACTGCTTTACCACCTGTCTTAGTTAGGGGTTCTGTTGCTGTAAAAGGACACCATGACCACAGCAACTCTCATAAATGAAAATATTTAATTGCAGGAGCTCGCTTGCAGTTTCAGAGATGTAGCCCATTGTCATCATGGCAGGGAGCTTGGCATCATGCAGTCATACATAGTGATGGAGAAGCAGCTGGGAGTTCTGTATCTGAAAGAGAGTGCCACCAGGCCTGGCTTGTGCTTTTGAAACCTCAACGCCTCATCCCCCCAGTGACATAATTCCTCCAACAAGGCGAAAACTATAACCCCTCCCAAGTAGTGCCACTATTTGATGACTAATCATTCAAACATATGAGCCTATGGAGGGGGGAGACTCATTTTTAAACTACCACATTCCACCCTATTTCCTCAGTACATTCTGCTCTAATGAAGTGTGTACATGTCGAATGATTATGGTGCTATGCAAAATGGCACACTAAAAACCACAGGCTTATAAGGAAACTGGGTCAGAGTATGGTTTCAAGACTCAAAACCTGACACAGAGGAAGAGTGAAACCTGCTAAGAACAGTAACACAGTGTCACACATGTTAAATGGCCTCCACATATGTAAATGCTATAATAAGTAATTTCACTTATTGAAAAACTTTGAAGTTTGCTTGTGGAAAGTGGGGGTTAAAGGGATTGAAATTTGTGAGCACTAAGGTGGGGTATATTAAAAAATCAACAGAAAGTGGTCACAGCAGGTCTAAACAGCTATGGCACCCTATGTGAGATGGTTGATATTAGAGGCATATTTCAATATTTGTGTTTTTGTATACAGCTCAGTTCAACTAGAGATACTTTCCTGCATCCACCATGTATTTCTTCAAGGGGAAATTATAAGCAGTCACAAAATTTTGCATTATGCTTTAATTCTTGTCTGATGAATAATAGGGTGGCAATCTGCATTTTCAAAGCAAGTATTTTGTCAGAACTGTTTTTTTCATTTAATACACAAGGCCTAAGGCACCCTGGACAATAAAAGGATAGATAATTATTACTGTCCCTGTTTATGATCTTACTGTCTGCTAGTACTCATGGTTTTACTCAATCTTTTCCCCAAACAGGAAGATGGTGATTAGGAATTCTAAAGCAATAATAAAATTCACACTGGATCAATCCTTGTCCCCTTTCCAAGAACCACAGATGAATGATTGTGCTGGTGATCTTGTTGAATGATGTGACCTTCATCTTTGAGTAGCTGCTTGAGTGTTTCTTCTGCAATGTGGGCATCTTTAATTTTTTATTTATTATTACATTGTGTGTATGCATGTAATGTACATGTTGAAGGGAGACTCTACAAATGCCTTAATGCCTGTGTAGAGGTCATAGGACAAATTCATGGAGTTGTCTCCTTCCACCTTCATGTGGGTGCTGGGAATTGAACTAAGATCATTAAGCACATTGGCAAGTTTTTTTTACCTGCTGAGAGATGTTATTGATGTAGATATCATTATTAGTGACATTCAAGTTTCTTATGTGATAAAATGACATGTGACACGGATAATACTAATAACAGCAATGTCAAGTGTGGAAAATAAAAAGTGAGCAGATACCTTAATTATGGGTCTATTTATATGGCAGCCACAGGTAGCTAAAATGAAGTAGCCTATGTGCTAACTTGATCAAGAAATGCAATGGAATTATTGCAAATGGAGGGGGAAGAAGGAAGATTCTGCTGAGGAGGCAAATAGGGCTCTCAATGTTTATCTATCCTTGTATTCCTTAAACATGTTAGAAAGTATATGAGTGCTTGCCCTCCCAACACTCCATTAACCACATACAGTTACTTAATAGAGTCATTTCTGTGATTTCAAAATACCTATGCTAGTCTAAAAATTTTGTGAACCAATGGAGATTTCCCAGTTGAGGTTGGCTAGTATGAGTTAGCAGTAGCAATGCCTGTACTGTTAGTGTAGTAGAGCTGGAACCCCTTCTCCTATGAAGACAGATGCAACCATGGTTCTTGGAGGAGATGGAAAAAGTGAGAAGTCTATGTAAATCCATAGTTTTGTGTATGAAAAGAAGCTTCTCTGAGCCAAAAGCCAGATCACAATGGAAACTGACTTAAAGTAGGGATTGGGGCCATGCTACTTCATATTAGCAAAAATATAGGCTGAACTGCTTAGTAGAGTTATTAGACCTGCTGAAATATGTTGTATGGCAGGTAGCACAAAAACAACTTTGAACACAGTGCTCATAGGTGCATGTTCACATTGTCTTACGATGTCGAGAATGAGACTGAAGGCCTTGCACCTGCCTGCTAAGTGCTCTGCTATGAGCTAAATTCTAGTCCAAAGTAGGTTTTCAAAATTGCTCATCCCTCTACGAACTTTCTTCTACAACATTTTGATTATATAAAATGAAAATCTGTACAGAAAAATATTGAGGCAGGTAGTCACTATATAGCTCTAACTCTGTGGAATTACAACGTGGCCTGGGCTGGCCTTGAACCTTTTTTCATCTTTTAATCTGTACTTCATGAGTCCTGCCTTGGATTATAGATGCACATCACTGTACCCACTATAAACATTTTAAATGCTACTTTAGAGATTTGTGTGTGTGTGTGTGTGTGTGTGTGTGTGTGTGTGTGTGTGTGTGTGTGTGTAGTAAATACACTGTATAAGTTCTGTAAGGCACATTTGAAAATGAACGCTTGAGGTGAGAAGTTAGCTCAATGGGTAAATATGCTTGCTGTGCAAGCATGAGGGTTTGAATTTGAATATTCAGCATGGCTGCACATCCCTGTAGCCCCAGCATCGAGGAACAGAGATGGGCAGGTCCTGGGAACTCACTGAGCAGTCAGTCTAGCTGAAATAGTAAGCTTCATGCTTAGTGAGAGACCCTGCCTCAAGGGAAAAGCAGACAGTGGTAGAGAAGGCGTAGGTGCACATACCACACACAAATAAAACAGAAGTTAGCACTTGTGGTTTCTTGACTTTAGAGTTTGGAGAAAGGTGGAGTTCTTCTTGGGACTCTCAATTCCAAAAGGCCATGAGTGTTCACTACCACCTAGACAAGAAATTGCATTCTCTCAAATTCACTGATTTCTCTTCTTTACAAAATATGGGCATTAACACAAATGTTTATTAATCAGAAAGGGTAACACTACCAAGTGAGAGTCGCTGCAGTACATCTCACTAAAACCCTGCTTGCTTTAATCTCTAGCAATTCAAATTAAAGTAATTAGATTTGGGCATCTCCTGGGAATGAATCTGCCTCCTTTAGTTCTTAATTGGATCATGACAATTTTATAAAATCATTTTAGAGAATTACAAAATATCTATTACATTGTTCAATTCACCACATGTCTTTGTTGGCAGAGGCTTGGGTAATTTAGATGCTTGTGATTTTCTAAGTGGTATTATGCTTTAAAAATGTACCCCAGGATACAAATCCATATTAACTAACTGACAAAAATTATAGATATTTTTATTTGAGGCAATGCAAAAGGGTTAGATTGTGGCAGGAGTAATCAGACATCCCTTCCATATTAGAGATCTGATATTCCCAAAGCACAGGTGACTACCACTAGTTAAATAACTGTTTAACCACAACTAGTTTATCTGAGTAGTTAAAAGCTTGTTGAAGAAATACTGTCTGAGTACAATATGTTCTGTAGAAAGGAGCTCACAGACAAAAAATGGATCTCTCTCTCCTGTCTTTCTCTCCTTACCTCCCCAGTCTCCGTTTCTCTGTTGTCCTCATCCTCTTTCTCTCCTTCTCAAATTGAGAAGAGAGAAACTATTATCTGAGAGACTCTGTGTTGCACACATCTAATCTCAGCACTGGGGAGGTGGAGGCAGGATAATCAGGTCAGATTAGCCTACATGGTCAGATCCTGTCTTAAGCCTATCTTGTTAAAAGGTAAGAGAGGCCTCTTTCATAATCTTGAGATGAAAAAGAATCCTGTGCATAGTCTTTTAAAATGTGGGCGTTAGCCCACTCATAACCTCCCCAAATCAACAAAGTTGACATAGTAAACAATTCAAGTAAGCACTGAAAAAACGTTTCAGTGATGATCCTTAAATATTGAGAACTTAGGGATACTTGTGATACTCTTTCCAGGAGCAGAACATTTTAGAATCATGTGACTGTAAATTCTCTTTGACTTGGTTGCATCTCTGGGCAAATACATTAGCTCTCTGTAGGGAAAGTTAATCCTTGATTAGATCTCTGTAGGGAGAGCTACTTACTCCTTGATATTTTCTAGTTTGCCAAGTGATTCTGATGAGGTTGAGAAGCATTGTGTTTGCTGCTTGAGGAGTTGTTTTACTTGGCAGACTAATGTCCACAAGAAGACATTTTTATGTTATGACACTGAATGGGGAAAACATTAATCCATAACATAGCATACAATTGGGAAAACTGGCTAGGAATTTGTTTAACTGACCTAGTATCTCATGAATCTAATCAAGGGCTTGAAAGTTGCTAGCTCAGTGGTAAACATTCACTCTCTTTTAGTCCAATTTGTTAGAGGTTGGAGGTAGAAAAGTACTGAACCACTTGGTGGAGTAGATTTCAGTGTCCAAAGTCCATCATAGATATTGACATCCAATTGAATCCTAGGCAAAGACTAAAATGTACTTGTAGGAATAAAGCCATTGTTTGGCATTGACAAAATAAAGCAAGTCTGCAAAGGGGTAAGTAGTTCTATCTGTACCCAGAGTCCTTTTTGATATGAGACAACAGGAACAAATTATATGATTGATACATATGGAAACAGCATAGTGAGATCCATTATTTTGTATGCTAAAATTATCAAAAAGCAATTTATAGCTGGGCACACACCTTTAATCCCAGCACTGGAGAAGCAGAAGCAGGTGAATCTCTGACTTCAAAGCCAGCCTGGTTCATGTAGTGAGTTTCAGGCCAGCCGGGATAACATGGTAAGACCTCCAGCTCACAAAAAAAGCAATCTATAATACTTCCAATATACACTCTAATTGCAAAAATTTTTAGGTGCCTAATTAAAATGAAAAAAGGCATTAACATTAGGCTGACAACAAGCAAACATTAAACATATTTTTGGTTGTAATTGGTTTATTTTGTTAATTACTGGTGTTAATCTTTCTCTCTCTCTCTTTTGGGACACAGTTTCTCTGTGTAGCAGCCCTGGCTGTTCTGCAACTTGCTTTGTAGACCAGACTGTCCTCAAACTCACAGAGACCCTCCTGCCTCCACCTTCCATGTGTTGAGATTGAAGGTGTGTGCCACCATTGCCTGGTTTGTTGTTAACCTCTTACTGGGCTTAATTTATGAATTCAACTTTAATATGGTATACGTACAGTTTGACATAATCTGTGTTTCAGGTGTCCATTGGGGATCTTGGGGTGTATCTCCATGAGTAAGAGGGCTACTGTAATAAGATACAAACTTCTGCTAGTACAAAATTCTAGGCAAAGGAATGGAACTATTCTCCCATCCTTGTGAATTAGCTTTGTTCAGAGTCATTGCATCTTCTTTCCCAGCCATGGACCAATGTAATTCATTCCCCTCACCCTCGTCTTCTGTTTCAGATAAAGACTATTTTGAGTGGATTCATCATCAGAGGCTACTTGGGAAAATGGACACTGCTAATCAAGACTGTTACGTTGGTGCTGGTTGTGTCCTCTGGCCTGAGTCTTGGGAAAGAGGGGCCACTGGTGCATGTGGCTTGTTGCTGTGGTAACTTCTTCAGCAGCCTTTTCTCCAAGTATAGCAAGAATGAGGGCAAGAGGCGTGAGGTGAGCTAGCTCCCTCCTACCTCCACTGGCGGGGGATATAACTTCTTGGATTTCCTACATCATCCCACCTGCACTATAATCCCTAGAGCTCACCTTTAATTTCTTCCTTTGCAGGTGCTTTCAGCTGCAGCTGCTGCTGGTGTCTCTGTGGCCTTTGGTGCTCCCATAGGAGGTGTGCTCTTCAGTCTGGAGGAGGTGAGTTTGGGAGGACTCCTTTGACAAGAACAATATTATGATTGTATATAGATATGTATACGTATTAATTTTTACCATTTTTATGGTGTTGGGGACAAAACTCAGGGTCTTGAGAATACTATACCCCATGCCTTCTATTTCTCTTCCAAACATAGCTAAAACACATTTTGATTAAAGCTATCCCACTTTTGTTATTTGTTTATTAATTTTTGACATGCTAGGGATATAAAAACACCTAACTGTATCCAGAACTCACCTCACCAGCCTACATTTAGACATTACTTCCCTTAAGTGTTTTTGTTGGTGCTTTTTGGTCACAACTAACATAAACTGATAAAATGAGTAGCATATACTTTCTGTTTTAGCTCATCTCTATGCCAAGTGCTAAATGTTAGCTGCTCACCCAAGGCTCTGAGCAGTCCTTTCTCTGATTTTCTATTTTTTTCTTCTCAGGTCAGTTACTACTTTCCCTTGAAAACCTTGTGGAGGTCATTTTTCGCAGCCCTGGTGGCAGCCTTCACACTGCGCTCCATCAACCCCTTTGGAAATAGCCGCCTGGTCCTCTTTTATGTGGAGTATCATACGCCCTGGTATATGGCTGAACTCTTCCCCTTCATACTGCTTGGAGTCTTTGGGGGTTTGTGGGGAACCCTCTTCACACGCTGCAACATTGCTTGGTGCAGGAGGCGTAAAACTACCAGGCTCGGGAAGTATCCAGTGTTGGAGGTCATTGTGGTGACAGCCATCACTGCCATCATTGCCTATCCCAATCCGTATACTCGCCAGAGCACCAGTGAGCTCATTTCTGAGCTGTTTAATGACTGTGGGGCTCTTGAGTCCTCCCAGCTCTGTGACTATATTAATGACCCCAACATGACTCGGCCTGTAGATGACATTCCAGACCGACCAGCTGGAGTTGGGGTTTACACAGCCATGTGGCAGCTGGCCTTGGCCCTGATCTTCAAAATAGTCATTACTATATTTACCTTTGGCATGAAGGTAAGTAAAGTGGAAAGAAGGTGGGGAGGGCATGTTTTTCTGGTATAGCACATTATTCTCCAGAATAAAACTACAATCGAAGAAGAGGAACACTGACCTTTCTTGAATGTGCTTGTTCTTCTTTTAATCAAAAGGAAATAGTTCTCTAAACAGCAAGTGTATGCAATAGAGATTTTATTTCCATTTTCCTTTTAAGTTATTTTTTTAAGCCAAGGTCTCACCATATAACTCTGGCTGGCCCAAAACTTGCTATATAGACCAGAGCAACCTTGAACTCACAGAGATCTCAATGTGTCCCAAGTGCTGGTATTAAATGCATGTGGCACCACATCTGGTATAGGTGCATTGGTCTGACCAACCCACTCTATAAGATATTTATGGGATACAGGGCTGGATACCAAGTCACCTCATTGCCTTCTTAGAAGCTTAGATTTACTTGCTGAGTGAGTGATGGCAGACAGTGGACACATAAAGCCCAATTTGACCTCCATTTTAGTCAGTAAACATCCCTTGAACATTTTCTGTATCATGAGCAATGTATTAGGTCTGAGAGGTATAGAACCCAAAGCAGAATGATGCCCTTGAAAGGTACATGGCTCTGGAGAGACACACCCAAAGCCAGCATTTAGAGAATCTGTACTGAGCAGCTTACGTGCTACATCATCATGATGGTACAGAGTAATTACTCCCTGGATTTAACTAGGCTGATGGCATGGACTGTTTGCATACATCTTTTCTTGCTATCATTTGAGAGATGTGGATAATAGCACATGTTTCCAATTTTGGAGAGAAGACAGGTTCTTTCATTGTGGTTTGAGCACTGTTTTAACTCTGCCTAGCCATACATTTCTCCAAAGGCACTGAGGCATTATTGCTTTCTTTTTTTCTTTGAGGTGGTGTCTCACTGTTTAGACCAGGCTGTCTCTGAATTTGTTATCCTCCTGCCTCTGCCTCAAGAATGCTGAGATTACAGATGTTAGTGCCATGCCTGTCCAAGTTGATCATTTTAAAGTATAGAGACTATTGACGTTATGTACATCCACAATACAGCATAGCCATTGTCTGTTTAGTTTAGAACATTTTTTTTATTCACCCAAAGACACTGTATTAATAGTTACTCTCCATCCTCCCCTCCTCTAGCCCTTGCAGCCTTCCATGTCTTCTCTGAGTGTGAATTTACCTATTCTGGATAGTTCGTGTAAATGGAATAGAATATGTGGTCTTTTGTGTCTGGCATCTTTCATTCAGTGTTGTGGTTTCAAGGTTCATCCAATATTGTACCTTTTTCCAATACTTTACTCCTTTTATTGGAGCATTTCACTATTGTAGTATTTCATTCTAGTCTACATTTTCTTTATCCATTCACCGTTTGACATTTGGATTGGTTATGCCTCTTAGCTGTTGTGAATCGTACCATTATTTCTATGTAAAAACATATCAGAATATACCATTCATACAGAGTTGGCCACAGCTTAATGAATTTTCACAAAACATTAATATGTGTGGCCATTACTACTGTTATGTGGTATTCTACAAATGTTTTATTTTTATGGATTCTCAGAAATGGTGATTTCATAAGGCACAGGACAGGTAGAACTCATTAAATGGATGACTCACCCTTACTCTTCAATTTCTATCAAAGGAGTTAGTCTTTGTATCCAAGGAAGATGCTATCAGCACCCTTTGTGCTTACTAAGAAAGGCCTACTTTGAAGTTAATGGGGATTCAATGTTGTGGAGTAAGGGAAACTCAGAGACAGTTTCTTAAAGGTATTCCAACCTCTAGAAATTGCACAGGAGGCTGCCTCTTCTTTCACTGCAGTGAGGTTAAAGATCCGTCTCTATCTTCAGATTGATGGCTGCTGAGGTGGTGAGAAGAGCAGCTGCTGTGAGCTCTCCAAGCTCATGGATTCTCATTGACCATGGGGAGTCAGGGCTTCTGTAGCACATGCATGATCATTATTAAAATAGAAAACTCACCATTACCAACTACTATTAGGCCATGCAGTCTGCTTCCTTGCTGCCCCTAAGGTGGCTGGAAAATACTACAAACACTTCTTGGAAAATGGGCTTAGTCCATTTGTGTCCCCTCTCTGTCTGATAAGTGTCCAGCCAGCACCCTTTGAAGAGGCTACTAAACCTTTGAAAAGCTTTTGGAGGACCCAGGACAGCTATGGTGACTGTAATACACTCTGGTTTCTTTATTTTACCTGGGAGCAATTGAAGGCCTTTCTCAACTATTTTCCTGCTGTGCCTTGACATTTAATTTTCAAAGCCAGTGTGAGTGACATAGCCAGGGGAGTGAGAAAGTGGTGAGAGGCTCAAGTGACAGATGCATGCTTGGGATGTTATCTGCAGTGAAGCTTATCACTCTTTAATGCACAGCAGGCAAAGGGGCTGCCTTTTGAAGGGGAGGAAATGAAAGTGTCAAACTGTGTTCTTTTTGAGTTGCAGTACAGTTCAACAACTAAGCAACTGAGCAGGTTAACTCATTTGCCTCACCTTTTCCCAGCTTACTTGTTTTGAAGAACTGGATCTCCTTTGAAGACCTAAGCCACATGCAAATATGTGGGGGTGGGGGACTCTCACTTTCCCTGGGCCTGGGTGGTGGAACTGGGCCTCCTTACCTCAGGCTACCTTTTCTCTGTGTGCTCCTTCGAGATTCCTTCAGGCCTCTTCATCCCCAGCATGGCTGTAGGAGCCATGGCAGGCCGAATGGTGGGAATCGGTGTGGAGCAGCTGGCCTACCATCACCATGACTGGATCATCTTCAGGAACTGGTGCAGGCCTGGAGCGGACTGCGTCACACCAGGGCTTTATGCGATGGTGGGAGCTGCAGCTTGTCTAGGTACAGCCATAGGTGGGGAAGGGAGAGGGCAGGGTGCTGTTCTGCCTTAGAGGTCAGACAAGAAAGAAGAGATGGACTTGATCACTGGCTTCATTTGGGATAAGATTAGGCTATGCTCTGGTAACAAGCAAATTCCTACATCTTGGTAGTTCATGTATTATTAGACACACGTGTGCGTGTGGTTCTCCTCTGTCCAGTTGTTCAGAACCCAGGCTAATGAAATCTCTACTGTCTTACAGCTGTACCATCTAGAATATGGCTTCTCAGCAAGGAGTGATTCCACCTCTGATGATATTTGGAGACACTTTTGCTTATCATAACTTTAAGTGCCACTTGTATGTAGTGGGTAGAGGGTACACATGCTGCTCAGCTTTCAAGCATAGCACCTTCTTGATAACAGGATAGCTCAGCCCCAAATATCTCATGTACTGAGGTTAAAACAATCTGGCTTAACTTTATTGGAGTAGGATTTTGTTGCAATTGCCTTTGAATACTTAGGGATTCAAAGCCTGATTCCTGTCCCACCTAATATTCTTTTTTTATTAATTTATTTTTTATTTTACATGTCGATACCAGTTCCCTCCCCCTCCTCTCCCTCCCTCCCTCCCACTTACCCTTTCTGCCCCCTCACATGCACCCTGACCACCCTCCCCTCCCCTGACCTAATATTTTTAATAATCCCTCTAACGTTTTGGCTTCTGAGTTGCTTGCACATTAGGAACCTGGATAGTCTGATAGGATCCAGTCATTAAAGGGCCAGGCACATGACCTGGGAGAATAGACACCCATATCCCTCATTGGAGTGGAGCTCCCTGTCAGGCGATACAGGTTCCTAATGCAAAGTGGGGTATAACAGAGCCTGGGCCCAGGCATCATGTGGGTGGGACTGACTCCATGGACCAAGTATGAGGAGGACAGAAAGTTCTTATTGGAGAGCCCTGCTAGGGCTGAAATTGTGGTCTGTGAGCTTGTCTGTTCACACAAATCACACATTCATTGGGCCTGTGGCTGAGCTTCAAATCTCACTGCTTTTCTGTTATAGGTGGTGTGACTAGGATGACAGTGTCACTGGTGGTCATCATGTTTGAACTGACTGGAGGTCTGGAGTATATTGTGCCCCTCATGGCAGCTGCTGTCACCAGCAAGTGGGTGGCTGATGCCTTTGGGAAAGAAGGGATTTACGAAGCCCACATCCATCTGAATGGGTACCCATTTCTGGATGTGAAGGATGAGTTCACCCACCGTACTCTGGCCACGGATGTGATGCGGCCACGGAGGGGAGAAGCACCACTGTCGGTGCTCACCCAGGACAGCATGACCGTGGAGGACGTGGAGACGCTCATCAAGGAGACAGACTACAACGGCTTTCCTGTGGTGGTCTCCAGAGACTCGGAGCGCCTCATCGGCTTTGCCCAGAGGCGAGAGCTGATCTTGGCTATAAGTGAGTATAGACAGAGAGGCTCTCACCTTTCCCTTGGAGGCCCTAGAATCAGCACATGGGTCCCAGGGAGTTCACTAAGTCAGGGGCTCTCTTGACAAGCCCCAATACGTCACTCAAGTCTAAGTGGTCAGTCCTAAACCTGTACTCATATGGTTAACACTATTTAGAGTCAATAGGTTGCATGTATGTGTACATAAGTATATGCATATGCGTAAAAACTTTAGAAGAGAACATGAAATTTAGAGAAGGCTATGGCAGGGGAATATAGGAGGAGTTGGAAAGGGAGAAGGAGAGGTGGAAATGAAGTAATTATAGTGCACTCATTAAGATTATGTATTTGTATATTGCAAATTCATTATAATTTAATGAAAAATTATGTTAAAAAGTCAGAGTCTTCGAAGCTTTGTTTTAAACATATTTGTTACCTAGGATCAGGTTAAGATACAGATTGTAAGCTGGGAGATGGTGACATACACCTTTAATCCCAGCCCTCAGGAGGCAGAGACAGTCAGATCTCTGAGTTCGAGGCCAGCTTCGTCTATAGAGTGAGTTCCAGAACAGCCAGGGCTGTTACACAGAGAAACCCTGTCTCAAAAAAACCAAAATGGAAAACAAGGATACAAATTCTGATTGAACTGGCCCACTGGGGGCTGAGAGTTTATATTCCTTCTGAGCTTCCCAGGCATGCCAATGTTTCTGCCTCCAACTCACATTGTGAAGAGCCAAGGTTTAAAGGTTTAAATTTAAGCCCTGGGGTAGGTATTCCTGGTTAGAATGTGGTTGTTATGGGTACAGGCAGTCACTGGGGGGTCTATTCCTGCTGGAAGGTGTGCTGCTGCTGCTGCTGCTGCTATAGTTTTAAAGGAATTGTTGACTAAACTGAAAGAAAGGAAGGCTATGAGAACAAAGTTGAATGACACAGCTTATGTCAAAGTGGCCATTCCGGTAGCATAGTCAGCCCACTGAAGTGGGGAGTTCTCCCTCACTCAACACTGCACTAATCTTTGCTACAATCTCTCCCATTATTTTCAATTGAGCCAATTAGGGGACCACGTGGGTTATAAGCAGCATCACTCGGAATTAGTTCGATGTGATTATGTTTTCCTAGTGTTTGAACTGAGGTTCAAACTGTTTTATTTGGGTAACAGATATACAGTTGGGGTGTCCCAAAAACTAGCTGCTGAAGGAAGCTAATCTGTGGATCCATTGTAACAGGGATGGCTGCAATGGACGGGAAGCAAGAAGTAGACCTCGGTAAGAGCTGTAGAGAGAACTCTAGGACCTCAGGATGCAAGCAGTTGCGAGGGCCAGCGTAGCCCATTTTCCCATTCATGATAAATACCAAGCCCTGCCCACCAGCAGTCTTGCTCCATGATCTGTGAATTATCCCTGTATTACATGGGAGTCAAGCCTATGGCACTTTCGTGACCATGGGCCAGTGTTATGTTCTACCACACCTTCCAGAATGTTCCTGCGGTGTAACAATGAGATCTTCTTCTTCCTGCTGATTACCTCAGCATGTATACATCTTCACCAGACTACTCTTTCATTCTTTGGCCCTTTGTTCCTATTTTCCAGGCTCCTCCTTTTCTATTTTTAACACCCATTCCCCATACTAAATAGCTTAAAATATATTTAAGGTATCTTCCTCTAAAGCTTTCCAAATGTTAGTACCTTGTAACTTTAATGGTTAGCTCACACAGAAAACAAAGTTTGAGTTTACATTTTAAGTACAACGGCAAATTCCTGTGTGAGGGCTCAGAGATGTTTCTTTTTATGTAGGTCCTGTCTTGGAATGGGGAGGTGCCTTGAGGGGTAAACACTGCCTAGAAAATAATAAGATCATTAAGAAGTTGTTTAAGTAGGGTCAGATTTGTTTTAAAATAATATAATCAGCAGCCTTTAAAATGCATTCAACCCCCCCCCCAATCTTTTACACAAAGGTTGAGTTTAGAAACTGAAGTAATAAATGTCACACAATCCATTACCTATTGTGCTGCTCCAGGCACACCTGCTAAGAGACATCTTATTAATTTTGCTTAAATCCATTACTGTAATCAAGTGGGAAGCGATAATTGACATCTACTGGTTGGAGAAGAAATTTAAGCTCTGCAAGCCTGCACCCTCTCAGAAACTATGTTTGGAATATCTGAAGAGGCACCATGCAGTGTAAATCATATTTCTGTGCTTTCAGTTAGGCCTGTTATAGTGCAGAAGCTTCTATTTCTATGGCTTGCTGAAAGATGAGGGGTGCTTTGCTCCAGGGAATCAGACAAGCTGTTTTCCTAAGGCTTGGAAATGGAGGGATCACCACATTGTGGTGGTAAGATTCAGGACCTGTATTTGAGGAATTCTATGCCCTTGTGAGAATATCAAGATAGGACATTAAACATTTTACTAAAACTCTCCCATGCCAAATTCACTTTTAAGGGGATTAGGAAGCAGAGCTTTTGCAAGGAACATTCAAGAAAGTTATCATGAGTAAAGAATGAGAAATGAGGATAATAAGGATTTTCTTCCATTCTGTTCTTTTCTTCTAAAACTTAAAAAAAAAATATATTCTTTTTTACATTAGCAAGCAAAGTAATGGATCTCATAATAGTGTTTTCACAAATATGTGTATTATGTCTTATGATTCATAATCCATCTCTGGGATGCCAGAGCACAACCATTACCTTTAGATTAGAGAGTGATAGTTAACAGCAACCCATGGCCATCAGAGTTTATTAGCCAATGGGGCCCTGTTGCGTGACTCTTGTTCAAACTCCTGGCAAGTGGATTTTACCTCTCATTACTCTTTGCAAATATGAAGATCCTTCTGTACTCTGCGGGGCTCAGGCATTTCAAGTCCTGGCTTCTGCAATTAAGGAAGTACAGGTTCCAAGAGTACTCAGTGGGAAGCCACAGCGATGATTAAAGGAATGGAAAGTTAGAGCTCTGGGGAAGAGTTAAGGGAACTCTCAGGTTTTTCATCTGGTGGATGACTTAATAATGATTCTCCAGCATATGGAAGATGCTTACTTGCATAAAGGGATCCACCTTCAAGACTGAATGAGAAGATAGGCATCAGATTTGCCAGACAGACTCTGTAAGTGTTGAGGTTTCTGTTTGGAGGCACTGTTAATTATTGAAATGGTCATGTGGAATAGTGGTGTTAATTACTTTCTGCTAAGTGTTAAAATACATGGAATGTGTAAGATTTATCCTTGCCTTGGTTGATAGTATTTTATAAAATAATCTGTTTTTCTTTCTGTGTAGTCTTTAAACCATGTCATACTGCTACTTAGCACGAGAGTGGTTGCTTCCATTTTTTTCCATTTTAACCTTTCTTGTTAATTGTGTCTTTTTTTTTTTTTTTATGGGAGCATTCTTAACCAACTGGATGATAGAGCATTGCCTCACTGGAAACAATTACTCTAAAGTAAAGGCTTTTAACCTTAATACCACTGACATTTGCATGTGTTTGAGGCTGTCCTGTGCACTGTAGGGTTTTGAACAGCATCCTTGCTCTCTCTCCACAAAAATCCAGTGGCATTTCCCCTTTCCCTTTTGTGACAACCAAAAGGGCCTGTAGACATTACTGAACTCCCCTGAGAGTGGGGCAAAAACTGTACTCAGGTAATAGTCACTGCTCTGAAGCCACTCACAGGCTTATTGGGTGTTTGCTTATTTCTAATGTTTAAAATGTTCATGTTATATCACATTATGTGAAATTCGTGTCACCAACACAGTAAAAATTACCCTCTTTGCAACTGACATTATTGTATCTAGAAAGTAGAATATGAGGTTGAGCAAATAATAGATCATTTTAAAGGAGCTGTGTCTACCAAGAGTACATCTAGTACAATATTACGATGAAGCCATCTACATTAAAACATCGGGGGGGGGGGAAACATGTAATTCTTGAACTCTCAGAGATTTAAAAAATGAAATTTTTGTTAAATTTTCAAACTAAAAGTAATACGAACTCTTATATTATGGAAAAAAAATTGGAAAAATTTTAAAGGCACCTTCATTCTCACCACTGCTAAACAGGGCCATCATAGTAACTGCATTTTCTTCCTGTCTTTTTTGTGTCAAAAACTATATATATATATATATAGCACCTCCTTCTCTAGAGTTTGAAGCCTTATTGAATCTTTATAATCTGGTTTTAAAGTGACCTAAGAGAGCCATTCTGAAGGGAGCAGCAATTGTCACCATGAGTAGCAAGAAATACAGCTCAGATCGACATCTGACCCTAGCTAAAATTTAAAACCCTTGTCTTGTGGTGGATAGCCCTTGGATATTACTTTTTAATGCCTCCTTCCTCCACGAAATAGGCTCTGTTCTGTGAGATAAACAGCTACACTGGCATTTAGTAGATCTTAGACATTCATACATATATGCATGCATGTGACAAAAATGTTTTGTATTTGGGATAAAAAGATAACTCAGCAAGTAAGAACACTTGCTACTCTTCCAAAAGATTCAAGTTCAGTACCCAGAACCGAGGTTAAGTGGTTCGCAACTTCCTGTAACTCCAGTTCTAGAGGAGTTATACCTTCTTCTGGCCTCCACAAGTTTCTCTCTCTCTCTCTCTCTCTCTCTCTCTCTCTCTCTCTCTCTCTCTCACACACACACACACACACACACACACACACACACACACACACACACACGCGCGCGCGCACATATACAAATCAAAAGGAAAATAAATCTTTTTTTTGAGATAGGGTTTCTCTGTGTGTGTAGTCTTGGTTGTTCCAGAACTCTCTCTGTAGACCAGGCTGGCCTTGAACTCACAGAGATCCCCTACCTCTGCCTCCTGAATGCTGGGATTAAAGGTATGCAAAAAAGGAGTTCACCACAACCACCCAGCAAAGAGAAATCTTTAACAAAATGTTTTATGCCTACTGTATGCTTTGACTTTGTCTTGGCACAAGGGATACACTGGTGAGCAAGATGCCATTGAGTGGGTATCCGTTATTATCAAGGTTTCAAACAGTATCAATAGATTCTGAGGAAACGTGAGCTTGCTGTTTATTTAAGTGACTGGGTTGGATGGTTTTACGAGAGGCTTGGCAAATCCCTGTGATCAGTTCTTGATTAAGGGTTGTGACTTGATCCAATCCTGATGTTCAATTTGATTGTTAAAGTGGATGGAAATTGTGTTATGTGGGACTTTAAGAGAATATATTGGTTTGTGGAAATGAGCAAATAAGTATGTAGTGAGTATGGCCTCTGTGCCTGAGAGCTTTAAGACAGAACCCTTTGGATTAAGAGACAAGAGCACAGTGCCTGTAGTGGTGATTGTGTAGGATCTGCAGTTGAAAACATGTTGTACGTCAGTGCCATCAAATTTGTGGTTGAATCCCATCCCATGGTTGAATTACATCCCCTTGATGTAAGCAGATTCAACCTGACCCATATAATGTTCAGGCATTTGCCCAGCAGGCCCTCCTTTCCTCTTTACAAGAGAGCCCCCCCTTCCAGATTCAGCCTGACCTCTGATGCTGCCAGTTTTCCATTAGAGTGCTCTACTGCACTAAATGGTCTTAGAGGAGGCAGTAAGAATTTTATTTCTGAAGGAACAATATAGGTGAATAGTAGTCTTTGAGAAGGGTAAGGACTGTACTATAGAAACTTGGATTCATTTTTAAGGCAGGCCCTGCTGTACTTTTTCCCTAACCTTTTCCCATGAACTAAGAGGAAGATTAAAATTCCAACAGAAGGAAAATGGCCTTGAAGAAATACCTTGGGACCAATGGATTTATTTCATGTGTGACTTAAAATAGCTTGGGTTTCTAGCACTACATTAAGCTGTATTTCTAATGAATTCTGGTTACCCTACTTTCTCTTCAGCTTTGGATGGCCTTGCCTACAGACAGAAATAGACTAATTGCTACCATAACAGTTTTACTGTCTTTCTTTGTGAAATCTCTGAAATCTCACATTTTAAAGAGGAGAAGCCAGAGGCAGAGAGAAGCAGCTTTTCTAGCATTATTTCTTTGGTCCCAAGGGTCATATTCGGGATTGAACGGCATTTCTGGGCTGTGAGCCTGGGCAAGTCTTATTGGTTTTTCATACCTCTAGGATTCATAATGCCATTTAGGCCAGTTGTAAGCTCATTTCTAAAAATCAATGTGCTAAGGTTATTGGGCAGTGAAATGTGGTTTCTTGTCCTCACAAATGTGGGCCTATGATAAGATGATCTAAAAGTGAGGATGAAGGGCCTTTGGTCATTTGGGCTGCTCTGGAGTGTAGGGGAGTACAGTGGACATCTGCAAAGGGCCATGTTGATGGGAGCCCATCATGTTGGTAGGGAACATTCTTGTCACAGCAGGGTCCCTCTCTCACAGCATGTGAGAAGGATGCCAGGTTCACAGATGTTTGGCTGAAGTACTTGCTATGACTGGGCCTTTTGCCCTGCAAACCCTTCTTTGTGAGATGCTGAGATGCTGTGAGGGCAGGTGGGTGTAGTTAACTACAATATTTTTGTGTGTGGCTTAATCATTTTCCCCTCAACATTATTCTAGAGAATGCCAGACAGAGACAAGAAGGCATTGTGAGCAACTCCATCATGTACTTCACAGAGGAACCCCCTGAGTTGCCTGCCAATAGCCCACATCCACTGAAGCTGAGGCGCATTCTGAACCTGAGCCCTTTCACTGTCACTGACCATACCCCCATGGAGACAGTCGTGGACATCTTCCGGAAACTTGGGCTCCGGCAATGCCTGGTGACACGAAGTGGGTGAGTAACCATAAGGGAAAAGAGAGTGCACTATGGCCAGGTTTAATGTGTCTGCCCTTAAGGAACTCATGGTCCGTTGGGGTGGGCCAGTCCTTGACAGATGAGATGAATGTATTGAGATGAAAATGTACATGAGACTTGGGAATTTTGAGCAGAGGGAAGAGGGAGAAACTTCTAGGCAAGACTACAGTGTTCTAGGCTAGATTATTGCCTGTATTCAGTCTGAAGTTTGAGTCAAAGGGAAGAGCTAAAGAACAGCTTGTTTCTTCTTCTATGTGACACTTGGCCTAGAGAATAGGTACAGCTAGTTCTGTAATTCTGTGACATAAGTGCTCCTCAAAACCATTGTAGTATGCCAGAAGGAACAGCAATCAAATCACAGGCATTAGAGGGAAAATCGTCTTAGGTACAAAATTCCCAAAACCTTCATCAATGCTACATCATTTAAAAAGGATGAGAACTTCTAATTGGCAGGACAGGTATCTTCCTCATTCAGACTGAGATCACACTGCCCATGGATTTCAGAGGTGCTCTCTACTTTCTCACATTTGAAGTGTCCTTCCTAGATAGAGGATAAACGTCCAGGTGAAACCCATTTTTACACTTTCCACCCCAGGACTTCTGGTCTGTGAGGTCTTGGGTAAGACCTGAGAAGGGGAATTTTTAACAAGCTCCTGGGAATCCCACTTTGAGAAACACTGAATGAATATGTGTACTTGGGTTTCCTACATGGAATAAACACTGCAATGATTGCCCAGGCCATGTCAAGTGTATATATAGCAGTTTCTCCTTTCCTCTAAAATAGTCTGATGTCAGTTATCATTGGAATTTCCAGTTCAGTCAGGAAATTCTGCCCACAATACCCACTTATACCTCATGGAGCCCCATGAAGTTTTCCTGTGAAGATCTGGGTGCTGAAATTGGCTCCGAATGTTCTAAGAGAAAACAACTCTCCCTCTCTCTCTGGCTCTACATGTTTTAAACAAATACAGATGCTGATACGTTAGTGCTGGCAAGGGATCCTTGTTTGTGGGGCCTTTCATCTTCTCCTTGGGCTTTCAGCCAGGCCTGACTCAAGCCAGCTCATGGTTTTGATGCGTTCCATTGCCATGTGCCTTCCCTGCTCTAGTGGAGGAGAGTCTGAGCCTGTCCCTTGACCTGATTGTCTGCAGGCTATCTCTGGGCCTAGGGCCCAGAGTATTCATAAAACTAGACTAGGAACCAGAGATTCTTTGTACACAGAGTGCTGGAATCTAAGAAGCCTTCAAGTACTAAGATCAAATTTGGGTTCCTTTTTCCTCCTAGAGGTTCTAGAAAGGGAAAACAAGTCTGGATGATCATATCAGTTTTCCCTCATTCTTGTTGGGTGCCTCCATCCCCCGAGGGATCTGGACAGCATAGCTGTCTCAGAAGACTCCAGTTCTTCCAGTCTGCAGTTTAGGTCCTTTGTCATAAAACTGGCTATTTGTAATTCACTGTATTATCACAGAGTACCACTCAAAAAAGCTGGAGTTCACTTGACTTAAATCAAATAGGATGTTTACTGCTACTAATGAAGGCTGTCCGGTTTGATGTTGCTTCCTTCTGGGTTGATGTTTTGCCGATGCAGGTCAGGGCATAATTTATGCTAAAAGCCAAGACAGATTTAGAACATGTATTTCCTCAGTGCTCCTGGAACCAATCTAACTTGCAGACTTTATAGTCACAGAACTTTATGAAGAGGTTTTCAGAATGATAAATGCTTTATTTTTTGTTGTTGTTTTTAGTTATGGTGGTGGTAACGGGAGTGATCTCACTAAATTGTCCAGGCTGGCCCCTAGATTCTGGGATCCAGTGACCCTATTGCCTCAGCTTCCCATGAGCCATGTTCAATCTTTAGGTTCTATCTTTAGGGTTAAGATAATAAAACATAAAGGGTATGTGTATAGAGTTTCATCACTTTGTAATTGATAGTGGCCAAGGAGATATTGCAAGGAGATATTAACCTAGTCAGTGTTTTTACTGAGCATCTATTGTGGCTGAGAACTGGAGAAGGCTCAAAGGGGTTTTAAAACAGAAGGCCAGGGAAGTAGCTCAGTGGTATATCACTTAATATGTGCACAAGGCCCTGAATTCCATGCCCAGCATCACACAAAGTGTTAAAAATGAAACTCTCTTAGAGAAATGAAAATCAAAACAAGTCTGTGATGCCATCTTACACCTGTCAGAATGGCCAAGATCAAAAACATTGATGACATCTTATGCTGGAAAGGAAGTAGAGAAAGGGGAACATCCCTCCATTGCTGGTGAGAGTGCAAACTTGTACAGTAACTTGGGAAATCAGTATGGCAGTTCCTCAGAAAATTGAGAATCGATCTACCTCTAGACTCAGCAATACCACTTTGGGATATATACCCAAATGATGCACACTCAAACCACAAAATAATATTCATTAAATGAATGTCTCTTGGGCCTAGTGGCTCCAACCTGAAATCCCATGTACTCAGGAGGCTAGCACAGGAGAATGACAAGTTCAAGGTTACCTGTTGCCTGGATTGCAGAGTGGGTTCAAGATCAGTCTGGGCAACTTAGTGAGACCCTATTTCAAAAGAAAAGAAATGAAAATTTGAGGGTTGGGAACAGGATTCTGTGGTAGAGTTCTTATACCTTGTCATCTAATAAAGAATAGGGAATCCAATTTAAGCAGCATCACCCAAGGTGGATGTTTCAGAGGTATTTATCATGATCTTTGTTTTCAAATAAAATATGTGGCAGAAGCTGAGTGAGGTAGTTAAGCTGAAGCACTGTTTACATGTTGAAGATGGTCAACTGTGGGTTCCTTGCTAACAAAAGAGCAACTAGAAATGTTCTGTCCCCGTGAGCTGACCTGCTTAGATTTAGTTATTGATCATGGTTTGATTATATAATATATATATATATATATATATATATATATACAGTGTATTATAACTACATGCTATGAGCTTCATAGCTATCTTTTTCTTGATTTTGAAAGAACTCCAGGTTCCTAACACTTGCAAATACGCATGCTTTTCCACTTCTGGCTAATGGTCTCTTGCACTAGAATGCTTTCATCTGTCCTTTATTTCTATCACCATATTTTAACCTCAGAATGAAGAGGTGGGCTTGCCTTTATTTTTATTGATTCATTTTTCTTTTATGGCTATTATTTTATAATGATAACAAGAATAATTTAATTATCACCACTATTATTAATAATAATAAGAGATGTATGTGAATGTACATATGATATGTTTGGGAGAGAGTGAGTATGAATACATGTGTACCAGAGCTCATGTGCGCAGGCCAGAGGACAACTTTTGAGAGTTGTTTTTCTCCTGCTGTCTTGTTTGAGGCAGAGTCCTGTTCCTTTCTTGCGGTGTACTTAAAATTGCCTTCTCTATAAGCATCCAAGGTGATTCTTCTCTCTGTCTTTCATCTTGCTGTAGAAATTCTGGAGTTACAGGTGCATGCTACTGCATCATGTATTTTTTCCCTTTTGGGTCCCAGAAATCAAACCCCAGGCTCAGCTTTTCACAGCAAGCACTTTTACTTGCTAAGTAATCTTTCTGGCTCTCTTAAAGCTTTATTGAGATAATTGCATAACCTGTAATCCACCTATTTAAAATGTACAATTAGGTAGTTCAAATACAAAATGAATTTTGAATCTATCATCACCATCAAAGCCAAAACATTTCCATTACTTTAAAAGGAAAACTTGTATCCCTTAGATGTCACCTCATGTGCTAGTCCTAGGCAACCACTGATCTACTGTTTTAGCTTTGTGGATATGTCATATTGATGTGTGTCATATACTGTGTGGCCCTTCTTGTACCACTTGGTATAGTATTTTCAAGATTTGTCTCTGTTGAGGATTGTGTCAGTACCCTATGCTGTTAGTGACAGTAGACCTTTGAATTGTATGGATAAGCTATCACTCATATATTCATTTTTCTGTTGATAGACATTTGGGCTGTTTCCAGTTGGGGCTATTGTGAAAGAAAATTAGTGTGTACGTTGCTAAGCAGACATGTTTTCAGTATTCTTGACTAGATAACCTGGAATGGGGTTGTTTAATCATATGGTCCCTCATTTTATTGATTTAGTCATTTCCTCCCTCCATATTAGTTTTGGAAATGGGTCTGAATAAGTGATAACATTTGGTAGTATCTGAAGAAAGTTTGGTGATTACAATTGTGTGGGGGGGCAGGGGCAAGAAGCAGTGGCACTAGCAAGTAACAGTTATAATCTGGATAATGTACAAGACAGGTCACTCCCTACAAAGAATGGCCCAATTACCACTAGTATCAAAGTGGAGAAGTCATGAGTTAAGCCTTGATGGAGTTCAAAAAAGTAGAGGGTATCATCTAGATCAAGGTTAGAAGTCTTTCAGCTACAGCTATCTAGAAGGGATCCTCAGTGAATACTCCCAGTCGGCTTTAAATGGTGATCTCTTCCAGCATCAAATCTCCTTGCTAGCTCTGTTGTATCCTTGAAATTAATTAGTACTGGCAGAATGAGAACAAACTGTATCTGACCCCCAAGGGAAAAAAACTGTCTTCTTTACCTGGGTCATGTAAGCCTGTGATATGTCTCAAGCCTCTGGAGTATTCTCAACAGCTACATATGACTCTGAAGACCCAAGCGCAATATTTGACGATGCGGTGATATTTCTACTGAAGCATGGTGACTGACCACATACTGGGTAACAGTGCCATTGGGAAAATCATTACCTCTCATTGAATGAATCCAGGGGCCCTTATTATGGCAGTTGATCCCCAAGCAACTGAGATAATTGAGTTGGAAAAGAGGATTTTCAGGAGGTACTAGCTGAAGCCATGTCCATTCCTACATGAGAAGTCCAGAGTGCTTCACTCCCTTGGCGGTGGTCACACTCATGGGTAGCTTCCCAAGAGAAGCCAGCATACCATTACAAGAAGAGTGTCAATGTTTGGTTCCATAAGGTTGTTTAAAGACTAGAACAACATATGGAGAACCCACTAAGTTCACTTAAGTCAGTTCTACATATAATACATGTTTTATAATTTCACATGTTATGGAAAGGGAAGCATTCAGGGAATTGTTTTATCACAATTGTCCAATACAGGCAATTGGATTCTTGGCAAAGATTCAATTGTCTCCCTCTAAATTTCCATAGTAAAGCCCTAACCCTAATTTATGGCTGTTATTTGGGGAGAGGCACTAAAACTTAAGGTTAAATGAGGCCATTTTCTTAGATCCTTAATCCAACAGTACTAGTGTCCTTTAAAAAGAGGGAGAGCACAGAGAGGAGGCCATATGAAGACACAGCAGGAACATGATGGTAACCATCTGTCATCCAAGAAGATAAGCCTTGGAAAAACTGGCCCTGCTGGCACCTTGATCTTACACTTAATTCAACCACCATGTCTATGGCATTTTGTTACAGCAGTACAGGCTGAGTGATTCCAAGATTGCAAGTCAGCTTGGCTGATTTGGCAGAGCAGCGTTTCTGATCTACTAAACAGCTTCAATTCAATTGTACTGCATTGTGATGCATTGCAGACATATATTTTGCTGAGTGTGGTATGTTATGCCTGGTAATTCCAACACACAGGAACCTAAGTCAGGAAGATTGCCTTGAGCATATATATGTTATCATATATATCAGATATATATGCCATTACACACACACACACACACACACACACACACACACACACACACACACACACACACACACGATGGCCAGAATTATAGAGCTCAAAGCAGCTTGAGCAGCTTGAGTTAGAGTCACAATTCTGTGCTCTAACCCATTCAAACACCCACCCTCCAGTTGCTGTCTAGCATGCCTTTAGAAGGCCCTCTAGCTGCTTTCCTCCCTCCTAAAGATGTTCCTGTGACAGAGAGTGTAGGGAACAGTATTTATTCACTTCCTTAATGTGACAGAAGAAGAAACTAACACCAGAAAGATACCACATTTTCTAGATTGTTTAAGTTCCAGTGTGGTCCAGTCTGAGTTGTTCACCAACTGTACCTGACATGGTTACCCTTTGGACAAATGCAGCTTTCTTCTTATTAACTACTGGTACAACATGATTTGGGCAAATTAGGCTTGAGTTAAATGGCAATGTATTGTATCTGTGATTTGTTATTTTTTGGTTTGTCATCATCATACACAGCCCCATGAGTTGGAGGCCTGTCATTTTTATTGCTCCATAATTCTGAACAGAGGCTGCTGTAGCTTGCTTCCTGATCCCTTTCTCCCATTGTGATGGAGATTGAACAAACTATTATTTTCACACTTAATCCAGTAATGGAGTGTTTTTTTCCAAACAAATTGTTCACGTTGTCTTTGAAGAAAAATTTGCTTCACCAACAGGTCATGATTTGGTCCCTCAGAACATATTTAAGTACTTAATGAAACAATTAAAACAAGGTTGGCACGAATGTTTGTTCAGATGGGCACAGTATCATCCAGGAGCCTTATTTGCATCCCAGTTTCTATTTAAATGGGCACAGTATCGTCCAGGGAGCTCTATTTACATCCTAGTCTCTGTGAGCTGTGCTCCTAGGTTTGTACATTTCAGATAACCCTACACTAACAATCCTGAGGACTGGACTCCTGGCTCAGTTGATAAAGTGCTTGCTATGCAATCATGAATTTGTAACCCTAAAACCATCATTAAAAGTTGGATGTGGTATTGCATATCTGCAACCCTAGCACTGGTCAAGGAGTAGAAGGAGCAGTAAACAGGAGGGTCCCTGAAAGGTCATTGGCTCTAGCCCAGCTGAATCAATGAGCTGTAGGTACAATGAAAGATTGTCTCCAAAAAACAAGGTGATTAGTAATGGAGGAAGACCCATAAGTTGACCTCTGGCCTTGATACACACATTCACAACAAACAAGTGCAAAACCACATATATGCATTTGCATGTGCATGTGTGATCACACTCATGCACAAACAAAAGGAAATGGAGGGAGAGAGAGGCAGACAGACAGACAACAGACCACAGAAACTGACACTTTTATAATTAAAAACAATGGAATTTTGGAAGAGGATATGATGTGTGTATTTGGTCAGAAGTATATATTGTACTTTATTGAGCCAGTAACATAAAATTAAAAGTAGAATAATTTCTTTTTGATACAGTCTTACTTTGTATGCAAAACTTGCCTGAAGCTCCCTATGTAGGTCAGGCTAACCCCATATACATGGCATTCCTCTTGTCTCTGCTTACTTGGTACTAGTATTAATATGCATACACTATCATGTCTAACTTAATTTCTTACACTCTGCAAACTCTTATAGTTGGACTTTCTATGGTGTAATCATGCTGTTACAATAGCTTTCAGAGAGTTCTTTATAAATTGATTACAATCTTAAAATTGAAGTCATTGTGTCAGTCACTGTCAGTTCACAGCCTATGGAACAAACAAGCTTGTGGTACCAGTGGCTAATGTAATAAACATTTATTTTTTTATGCTAGGCATAATGATACATCCTTATAATTCTACACTTGGGATGCTGAGGCAGGGAGATCAAAAGTTTGAGTCTGACCTGAACTACAAGTTCTAGGCATGGGTTGCATAGGGAACCTACATACAAGCAAAGAAGACTATTTTTTCTCACTTATTACCTCCTATGTAGATTGCAGGTACAGGATCCTCACCACAGTCACTCAGGGATCCATACCTTTAAATCTAGTGGCTTATGTATCAGTCTTCTGTGCATCAGAGTCCTTCCCCTGGCTCCCTTGTCCCTGGATGCCAGTTGAGGAGAGTGAGGAAGAGTACAAGAGAGGAGAACTGCACAGGAGACCTGAGAGAGGCACCTGCCACCTTTGCACACAGGCCATTGGCTCGAGTTCATTCTATTGGTCCTGCCTAACCACAAAGGAAGCTAGGAAATTTTGTCTGCCCCTGAGCCTGGTCATGAGTCTCTTCTGTCAGGCTAATTTCTTTTTTTCTGTTTTGTTTTCACTCCAGGAGACTTCTTGGGATCATCACAAAAAAGGATGTTCTGAGACACATGGCCCAGATGGCAAACCAGGACCCTGAATCCATCATGTTTAATTAGTAATAAGGCGGCAATATTTTGAGAAGACCAATAACTATATAATTTTTAAATAAATAATCAAATGGTACATTATGATCCCAGTGAAAGACCATCTGCTGAGGGCAGCATAAATGAAATACTTGTTTGAAAGAAGGGGGAGAAGGATGAAATTTTTTTAAAAAGGCAAAAGCATAAATTAGTAGGCATTTTATAACCTAACCACTTATGAATTCCAAGCTATGTTTCTTAATGCATTTGCTAACTGCTTTGGGAGCATGTGGAAGATTGTAAGTGACATGAATTATACAAGGACAAGAAACTTTGGTCCCTTCACTCAAGGTTGATATTTGTGATTTTGGAGTAGTATATGTGAAACTTTGAGTCTAAAAGACAAAGAAGGATGTCAGCATGCCACTGCTATATATTGGTTCCTAAAATTTTGCTATCATGTTAAGGAATTATAGGGAGGATATTGTGCTTACTTTGTTGGAACAGAAAAGAAAATTAAATTTGGACACAGTGAGAGCTACAAGCAGACCCTGATGGGTCTACTCATAACCATGTCATTCCTTGCTTTTCTTCTCAAGCCCATTGTCTTGCTTCTTTATCAGTCTGAACCAGTACCAGTGGTGCCCACCATAGTGAACATGAAGAAACCGTTTTTCTACAGGAGACCAATAACTTGAGACTTGACAGTGAACTTTTGGAACATATAGTGCTGTGTGGACCTTCCTCTCATCTAAGGGGACACATATTTATTTTGAGGGGACACCTGCCTCATCACTGATTTGCAACCTCAAAGCATTGGCTTCATTTATTTATATGGTTACTTGTGTATTTGATACCTAGACTAGTCCAGCACCTGCCACGGATTATTGCCTGTGTGCTCCCAAATTGCTGTAGCGTGGTTTTTTTTTCCAAGTAGCATGTGCAATACTAAAACACCCAGCTACCCAGTGTTTCTACTTAACTTTCTTCTCAGGTCTTTCAGCTAGAGCCATGATTAGAGTGAGGCATATGAGTTCTCAGTGGGAACTCCTCCAAATGGATTACAAGAGAAACAGTAAATTGGTTCTAAATCTCTTCCATTCTCTTCTCTGTAGGATATAAAATGTCCAGTTTTAATGCCTAAGCATGTACTTTCATAATAGCAATCACAGCACAGGACAGAGTTACATTTTATATAGCCAATTGAAGCATTGGGTACCTTTGTATTAGAACTTAATGAGACTTTTATTCTTTTAGTCAGTACTTCTGTCTTTTCTGCAGGAAGGAAGTAGTGTTTTAGGTCCATTGTGTGATCTGTGTAAGATTTATGTCATTTGCCATTTCACTTCATCTTTGCCTCTCACTTTTCCCTCCATCATCGTTTTAATGTCATTGGCTATTGACACATCAGGTACATGTGCACTTGACTTTACGTAACAGAAAGTACAATTGACAGTGAGTCTAAGTAAGGAATCTGGGAGTTGGCCACTCCAGAACTGTCTCCATACTATTTCCAGAGACCCTAATTCTTCTGGTATTTCATTTTCAGTTTCTTTTTTTTTTTCTGTCCTTTGGCTTATTGTAAAACTGTTGCCCAGATGCCAGGTGTGATGTACACTTTCTGTGTGGGAAGAGAGAAGAGGCAAGTGACAAGGTGAAATGTGTGTTTCTTGGAAAGATAAGCTTTCCCAGAGATGTTGTGCATAAAACCATTGTCTGGAATTCTGTCACATGTCCTGTCCTCCTTGATATATATGAGCCAGGAAGGAAAAATTCTAGCTAGATACATTACTTTCTGAATGACATTTCGATTCTCTTAATAGGGGAGGAGGATTAGCTTTGGGGAGGGGAATATATCTGTCATATTAAATTCCATCATCATGTCCCTACTATTGTATTTTGTGTCATTTTTCACTCTCACATCCTTGACAATCCTTCCAAACATCCCTCCAAACATTCTTATAACATGTTGTGCATCTTACCCATTCTTTCACATTTGAGACAAGAACTAGTTCCTAAGCTGAGTCCATTGCTCAGGCCTAATAGGAATTTTAATTTTGAATAAAGTCTTAGTGTCAAATGGGTTCTGTGAATCTTCTTACTGTTACAAGTAATATATAGTCTGAAAAGCAAACATTTTAAGTCAGATCATGCTGACATCTGTGGAATACTATTTGTGTCTGTTACTTATTGTCTTCTTCTGAAATAACACTAAGTAGGCACATCAGTGTGACAATATTCAGGTAATAGTAGAGATTTTATGCCTTGGTTTGAGAATGAAGTTCATTGTCTCATTCACAGCATGTAAAAAGTAAGTAGTAGATCCTAATATTAGGGTTGTTATTAAGTTTTGCATGGAACATTTATAGATGAAGCAGAATTCTCCTGAACTGTAAATTCTAAATGTGAAAGATTACTTCATGTGGTTCCCCTCTTTTGCCCAGGTGACTCCCCTCAGAGTTGGTCTCTAATGAAAGGAGAGTATTAGTCATAGCCTAGTCTTCTTTAATCTATGCCTCCCAACCCCCATGGTCTGTGTGTGTGTGTGTGTGTGTGTGTTTGTGTGTGTGTGTGAGAGAGAGAGAGAGAGAGAGACAGACAGAGACAGAGAGAGAGAGAGAGAGAGAGAGAGAGAGAGAGAGGAATAGGTAGCTTAAAAGGCAATGCACAGCAGCAGTGGAAGCATCACTAAAGAAAGGTCAGCAAAACGACATAGTTCCCCTCTAATCTAGCAGAGTCCGAGCAGGAACACAAGGGAATAAATTTACTTTGGGCCAAAGTTATCAAGGGGAAATTGAAAGCATTCCATCTTTCTCCTAGTGTTTACCATGGAGATTCTGAAACTCACTGAAATAATTGAAAGTGTGATTGGATTGAAATAAGCCAGTCTTCTTTTCATTTGCAAGCTGATCCTCTAATGTGGGACCGAGGATCAAAGCAGTGGCCAGACAGGCAGGTGTAGGTAAGGATGGATAGTGTGCTGTGGAGACTGCCTTCTTCCCAAGGAGTCCTCTCTTTTGTCATTGAATAAGCTTCCTTGGGAACTCACTGCCCTGCTCTTTGTCACTCCTTTTGGGGGAGGGGGCAGTTGAGTTAGGGTTACTCTGTGTAATTATCCTGACTAGCCTGGAACTTGCTCTGTAGACCAGGCTGGCCTCAAACTCATAGAGATCCATCTGCCTCTGCCTCCAGAGTGCGGAGATTAAAGGTGTGTGCCATTGTCGCCACCATCACCACCACCTATATCACCTCAGACTCTCTTTGTTGTTCTAATGAAACCTTCCAATAGGAATTCTGAGGGTATTTGCTGTGTATCCCAACATAGAGCTCCTATCCACTTGGTGGTCTGATAAGACCTGGGACATGAAGGCAAAATAAGCATCTTTCCCAATAATTTGCTCTTTCTCCTTTCCAGAACTAAAATCTTCAGCCATCTGCAAAACATTCTGGAGTCTTTCTCAATCCATTCTTAATACTAAAACCAAGCAAAACAGAAGGTACAATGGGGAAGGTGTTTTCTGATGAGTAATACCATCTATTGACGTATACAGTCCTCACTGTTCCCAAGAACAGTTCTCTCCTCAGTACTTTCCAAAGGTCTTACCAAGGAAAGGATGTAAACAGATACATTTTGAGCCTGATAAGTCACAGAAACTGGAAATTTGAGAACAATTTGTTCTATTTAGGTGAGAATGGTTTGGTTACTTTGAGTTATCAACATGTGTACATTCTGCTTAGTATTCATTATCAGATGCTCTGCTGGAGAAGATGAGAAACTCATAAAGGAGAACGATGGAATCCTTATGTAATTGCATTATTCTACCTTTCGATTTGGGCAGGGGTTTATCAGACTCAGCTTCTAACCTTTGAAATGATTTACATGAGTGCAGAGCCAGTATATCTGACTTGGGAAATATTAACCAGATCTCATTTTACCAGCATGGTAATAACTATTTATTTGCCATGCTAGGTGTGCTGGGAATGAGCCTATGTGTGATTTTATGGGATGTGTTCACATTTGGTTTTGCAACAACCATCTAGTAATGTGTTTTTTTTTTTAAACTGTAACACTGTGTAAGCATTGGAACCTTATTAAAAATTAAATGTTTGAACTCTTATTTTTAAAACGAAAACAAGCACAGTTCTCAACAAGCATGTTGTAAGTGGAAGAGAGGTGATTTCACTGCACATTTCTTCCCAATAGGCACTGCTGAGACCTCCTGGTGATGGTTGCTGACACACCCAGCCACAGGAAAGTCATGCTCAGCAAGACTGTTTTACAGATTGTGATGCCAATGTGGTTGGATTTAAAATCTCTTGTTCTTGGCTGAGTGGGCAATGACTAAATCAAAATTCTGACCGGGCTTCTAAATTTCCAAAGACGGGACAGGCCATCTGTGTGTCTGTTCTGTGTTGGAGGCTAGGAAGTCCATCTTGGCATTCTTTGTTTTAATGAAAGTGGAAACCAGAAGGCTTTGCATTATGTTCTTCCCCACCATCTATAACTTTTTCTTTTTTAATGAAAGCTTGAAAGAAAATTTATAATGATAAGAAAGAACCAAAGGATTACCCAGAAGTGGTGCTCATCAGTATGTGCAGTGAAAGGAGTTTTCCTCTGACTGGGGAAGAAACCAGTTTTTGGAAGGATTTCCTTGACAGGAGATGTCATCAGGTGCAACTGTCCTAAGATAGAAGGGATCCTAGCCTGCTGTGGTCCTGTCTAGGGCAAATGGCTACAGATATGGTAGGGCTTGGAGCAAGGGCCATCTTGTTTGAAACACGTTTCTTTTCGGAGGATGAACCTGCACTAAGGGATATCTCAGGATCTTGAAGGATGAGGTAAAGACTCAGGGTTTAAAGGAGTGTTGTAATTTGACTTGTGCTTCTCACAAACCACTCTGGCTATTGGACAGTATATCTGGAAGTCAGGTGTCTAGCTAGATGAACAAGGACGGAAGCTTGTTCCAGTCAAATTCATGAATAAAGGCTTGATTCCTATGGAAGAGCCAACAAGCTTTTTGGTAGAGTGGCTATATTGACTGAGATGATCTAGATGAGACAAGGATCTTCATATGGAAATGTTGATGGGAAGCAAATATTAAGCTTTTAAATACATAATTCAGCAGAACCTATAGGGTTAGAAATAGAAATCAGGACATTGATGTATCAGAGACAATAAAAACATTCAGGGAGTTACATATACATAAATGTGAGATACCCACAGGACTACACTTGAGTTTCAGTTCCACCAAGACCTAGCTGAATGACATTTTTTAACCTTATAAATTGTATTACAGTGGTGGTTCTCAGTCTCTGGGTTGTGACCCCCTTGGGGTTGCATATCAGATATTCACATAAGTAAAATCACAGTTATGAAACCTCAATGAAAATAGTTTTATGGTTGGGGTCAACACAAATATTCACAGCTTAGGAACATTGAGTACCACTGCCTTAGAGCCTGGTTTTTCCCTATTTCTTTAGATTGAGATATGTCTTCTGCCCATTAGCATATCTGTGAGAATTAAATATAGGAACTACTATAAAATCTTGGCATAGAACATAGCCGTGCAAATGTAACTATTACTTTCTTCCATTATGAAGCCTTCCCATTATCTTTAATTGGAAATTCATTTAGTGTTGGTAAAGAACACACACACACACACACACACACACACACACACACACACACACTCTACTTTGATAAAACGTTCACCAATTTAAACCACGATTGGGCCAGCCAATTGTTTCTCTTTCGAGCTCCTGTCACTAGTTTTGCAGTGAAACAAAACAAATACCTCCCCACAAACCAATGACAATTCCAAAATTCTCACCTTTTAAAGAGTTTTCAAAATTGTTTCTTGGTTGATTTCAAGTTCCTGGGAAGAAAGTTACAGAAAAGGAAACAAAAGAGATTCTCATTTTTTCTGTAGTTTTATATTAGCTTTGGGAAAAAATCATTGATATGAATGGATCATATATTGATCAATTTGCAATTTGAAACAAGAAGATCTCATGATAAACAAGAATTGTGCAAGTGGCTTATTTTCAATGTAAAACCTAATTCCCACTAGCTAGACAAAAATACAGTCTCTAGCAGTGTTAATGTAGAATAAGTCTGTTAGTATTCATGAAAGAACAAGCTTTTGCGGGTATTAGATATTTCTCTTTAACATGATGCAGTTAAAAACTAAAGAGTGATAATGAAAAAACAGGGTTTGTCCCAAAGATGACAACCTATCAGTATTATTTCTGGGATCTCAGCCAGAATGGCCTCACAAAAGTCTGGGTCATGCATGGGGTTCCTGGATTTTTGTAGGTTGAGTCAGGACCAGAAACTTGCATCTCTGCCTGGGGCCATATGCACAGTGCTGGCACGCCTATGCTTGTGACTCTTCTCAGTTCATTGGTAGTTAATTGGCTAGAAAGAAACTATGTGGAGGCAGATAGGGAGCTTCTATTTATGGCAGTTCCTCAACATTACATTTCATTAAAGAAATGTTTTTTTTTTTCTTTCTGAATGAACAATAAGCAAAGAGCACCTTGTGGGGATTTCCAAGCCCCTTTAGTCAGGGTTTGGCTTACAGAATGAAGGGAGCAGTTTATATGTGATTCCAGCATTTGTTATGGAACACATTATTTCAAAGATTAAACAGCCGTCCTCAATCCAAACAGATTCTGTCAGAGAAATTGAAAACACATCCATAAATTCTCAGTACACAGGCTGCCTGATGGGTTGGGTCCAGAGGATGCTTGGTGATAGAACATTCCTTACTTCTGCATGCTCCCTGCTTATTTCCAAAGCTCACGTTCTCAGGACTTTCACCTGTTTCTAGCCGATGCAAATACAAGCACAAACTGGAGCCCATTCTGTTTTAATAACAGATTTCCTTTCCTGCTATTTCTCAAACTTCAGTCTGTTAAGGAATGGCTGCTTGGTGATTTACAGGATCAACAAGGAACTTTATCCAGAGAGTTGCCAATCCCAGTTGTTGCCCCGGGCAGGTATTTCTACAGGTCATTAAAGAAGTCGGGGAAAGAGAAAACCTGTGTGAGGTGCAGATGGGCTGTTCACAACTCCTGCAGGATAAACATGGTTCTGTGAGATGATCCGATATGTCAGATGGCAAGTGGATTCTGTAGTTCACTAAATGGTGGCAGGAGCATGGGAGCTCAGGACGTCTCCGTTTTAGTTTCTTTCTAGAATTTCTATCTGCGTGCCTGAGAGATGTGAGTTCAAGTGAGTGGACAATAATTACATCATGTGTATAGTAGAACTTTTCTTTACATTCTACCGACAGTTTAGATTATGCAGCATTAGGCCTATACTATCAGGAAGTGCAAGGTCATATGCAAAATCTACCTGTGTCCTGGTCTGCAGAGCTGAATCTCCAGTTTAT